TGTTGAGGGAGTACTTGAGTGGAGGCCCAATGTCCTTCTGCTACCTTAATACTAAACCTATAAATGTAGGCTCATAGATCTATTTCCCATTCCCACAGTTTTAAAGTAAAAATATTAAGAGAAATAAGTCACATGAGTAAAATGCTAAATGGGTGTCTAATGTGTGAAGTAATTTAACAGTTTGAATGTGGACATAAATTAGAAGAAAAAATGGATTCTAAAGGAGTGGTTATGAAAATAGAGTAAACACAGCATTCGTTTTATAGCAAGCCAGAGTACCACTAAGAGAAATAATCAACTTGAATAGGAGATGGAATTGATGGCTGAATATACTGACATGAATAGTCATGTTTAAGTGCTCTTGACAAAATATGAACAGGATATAAAATTTGAATTTTAAAAGTCAGATTTTAAAATTGTAGGTAAAGTAAGACTAAATTCGATAAAAGGAATTGATTAGAACTATATAGAATGCCTAGTGGGACAATTGGCTGTGAATATGCCAAGAATATACTGAAACACTGGAGCTAAGTATACCAGCTTTTATATTTCAAATTAAATGGAAAAAGAAGCTAATCATTGTTGGCAACTTTCTCCAGATACATCCCATCTTAGCTCCTCTGATGGGAGAAAGATGAGGCTGGCTGATCCCATAAAGATTTACAATCTCAGAAACTGATTAGGGTCTCTCTGGGTCAGAATTGACTCGTGGCAGTGGTTTTTGTTGTTTGCTGTTTTGTGGTGTAGTTCCTCTAAGTCTCTGGAAATTTCCAGATAAAACCAGTGTGGCAGTTTTAATATTTAACATAAAGCTTGACATTGCTAACACAATAAACTCCAGTAATGTATTTGTTAAACAAAACTAATCAGCTAAAAATCAAAGCCGGAATGTATACATGCACACAGGTGAGACTATATTTGGTATATTCACTTTAACTGAATTTGATCATGTTTTAAAATTTTTTGCTGTGAATCCATTTGATCAGTTCTGCACTGCCCTTCTGCCCCACTCTGTTGCTTTGTAACAAATACTTCTGAAGTGACAAGTGTTAAGTGCTGGAAGCATCCTAGCATCAGCGGTTCCTATACTCCCTGGGTAACAAAAGCTTGAGGGGAATATATCTTTGTGGAATTCTGTATCCTTGCCACCTTTACACTTGGTTGATAGAGTGAATGCAAATAGAGTTATATGTAGTATTATAAACTTGAAGTTGCATCTGATCCATACACTAGGACTCAGTAATTCCAGCATTCACTTATTTAGCACTCTAGCCCCAGTGGTACAACAGGGGTGAGGGGAGGGTGTTAGGCATTGGGCTGCTAACCACAAGGGTCAGTGGTTCAAACCCACCAGCTGCTCTGCTGAAGAAAACGGTGGCAGTCTGCGTCTGTAGAGATGTGTAACCTTGAAAACCCTATGGGGCAGTTCTACTCTGTCCACAGGGTGCCATGTCTCAGAATTGACTCCAAAGCAGTCAGTTTGGTTTGGGCTTTTTTCATACTCTGTTACAGTGTTTTACTTGTGTAACTTCCTTAGTCCTTACAGCCTTAGAAGGTAAGTACAGGTGAGCTGTGCTTAGTCAGTTCAGCAACACCCTATCATCAGACTGCACAAAGTCCATGGCCCCATAGTTGGTTTATTAAAGGGAAAAAGAAAGAAGCTCTTTTATTATTTCCCCTAATGGTTCAAAAGACCTCAAATCCAGACTCTTGTAGCACTGGACCACGGGTGAGATGCAAGCAAGTGAGGGACATGGATTGGGGTAACCAGTTTCTTTGGGGTATTGTCCTCATCAAGGGAATAGGGGAGTTGTGGCTGAGGGATTGGGGTGTGTGTCTTGCAGGGCTGCTTCTGCTACTCTGGCAGGTGGAACAGCTAGTGGGGCTGGGTGAGCTCCGCTCCCTCCCTGCATGTCTATTCCTCAGCTCTGCTGCTGCCCCTCCCTCTCAGCTGCTACCATGGATTCCTCCACCAGCAGCAGAGTTAGCACAATAGGACATGGGCCCACATAAGATTTTAATATGGTGTTCACATAACATTCAAATCCCATAGCATTTTGTTTCATAGAATGTATGGTGGTTAAGCAAGGCATGCCTGTACACTACTGTATACTGAATTTCCAGATGAGGGACTAAGGTTCAGAGAGTATCTTTCCTAACATCACACAGCAACTAGATAATAGAGCGATCTGATTTCTCCATGTCTTTACCCCATCATTCACAAAGTACAAAGAAGGGCCTTTTCAACCCAGGAAAATGTGATAGAGCTGTGCTCCTTGGTCATCATCTGCGCTGCCAATAGTGGGTATCCAATGAACATGTTGACTGCTGTGAAAACATGAGTGGAAAACAAAACTATTAAAGTGGGTCATTCAGAATGATGTTTTAGAAATATTAAATGCTGGTATGTTTTGTTTTGCTTTGCTTAAGTTTCTAGCCATTTATGGGTAAATGCAAACATTTTTCTGGTCCATAGTAGGTGCTCAATTAAAATTTCATTTGATTTCAACTTCCATATTTCTGCCTCTGACTTGACCCTCCTCTGTTTTTCCCTATTCCTGCACCGTATGCCCTTAATTTCCCCTGTCATTTCCTTATATGGGTATGAGACAGATAAGTTGGATTTAAATCATTTGAAAAAGGTATATTCCCAAGAAAATATTGGATCCCAGAATAACTAGTTTTCTCTTTTTGCCTTAACAGATAATGTGGGTAAGAAGAAAACCACCATTTTGCTAGATAAAAATCCTAATTACTATATTGTGATTAAGATGTATAGAGCAATCTAAGTTTGAATCCTAATTACTATATTGTGATTAAGATGTATAGAGCAATCTAAGTTTGCTAAAAGTTATTCTATTGATTTATAATTCAATTTTCTAAAACTCTGGATTTCTAGAATCCGTATAGACAATCTTACTTATAAAATGAATGTAAGATAATTTCAGAAAGGCCACTGCATAGCCACCCTAGCCTAGCACCAAACTTAGGAAAGGGCCATTTAATCATTTAAGTGAAACAACACTCTCCTCCCAATAAAATCTGATTTAAACTTTTTGTATTTAGTTACCTGATTTCTAAAACCAACACAATAGGTTTTACTACCATTGCTCCTGCTACTGTACTGTGCTAAATCGACTTTACATCTACTATCTACCACACGTTATTTTAAAGAGAATAGAAGACTACAATGAGGATTCCATGGGTCAAGCAAGGCTACATGTTCACCTAAGTGGCCCACTTTCATTGCTTGCTATCAAGGGCATATTATTTGGCAACATGAGTAGAGACTCATATTAAAAAGTTGAAATGTAGCTACTTATAAGTTAATATACTGGCAACAGGCAAAAAGGCAAGCCTTTAGGATGATTGTGTTTCTGAATGACTTGGTAAATCTAAAGTACTTAAATAGTAGCAGTTTATTCATGCATGCTAATTTTCAGCCAATTTGATATCATTTATATAGTTATGCACACAGTTAACTAGCATTAAGAGACTAATTTTAAATACTATTGAAGTTTTGCTCTTTCTGGAAAACCAAATTAGCTCAATCAGTTGTGGCAGAATTGTTCATTCATTCTATCACAACCTATTACAAGTCACTAGGGGGCAGGACACAATTATAATTTCTCATCCTACTCATTTGCTGACTTGAAAAGACAATATGAAAATTATAGTTGGCCCTCAATTGAATGTACTATTCACCATTGTAAAAAGTAAGAAATCCCAAGTAAATCTATTTTAAAAGAGTAAGAGTAGTTTTATGTGAGAAAATTCATTTAACTCTGAAAATTTAGCTATTTGAGAAAGGAAGACATAAGTTTTTAGTCTATGAAGAGCTTCACTTAAAAAGTTATTACAATGCTGTTTTAATTTGACTCACACCAAATGATTATACCAGTCAGAATCAGCATAGCTAATTTTTACATGACAGAAGCATAATCTATTAAGAATCCATATTACAGAAATAATTTTCAAATGCATAATGCTGTCTGATGTCATATTAGGGTAAAGGATTGCTACAAAAATAATAATTCTAAAAAAAATTATAATTCTACCCAGTATCACTGGGGTATGTAGTCAAAGTTTAAGAACCTAGTTTGAAGGCATAAGATTCCTCCTCTTTTGTATGTGAGTATGAACTCTGTTTTCATTTGCACGTAATGTTCAAGGGCATTGTTAGCCGAAGGCACTCAATTAAAAGCATGCACTTTAAAATGTGTAAGATCTGTTTTTAAATCAGATTTTCCATGGCAAGTTCAAGTAGACTATGAAATCAATTTGAAGGAAAGCTGTTCTTAACTCCTTTCCTTCCTCCCTACTTTCTTCTGCTTGGCTGACCTTTTTTATGTTACATATTGATACCCCCTCTCTGTTCTGGCTTAGGCCATGCAAGAGTGAAAATGAAAGGTGCCTGGTAGCTGAGGAACTATATTAGTAATAAGAACACCTTGTCGTTGAAAGCTACAGTGAGTTACATCAGGGAAGTAATTAAGTAAACATAAATTGTACAAATCTGTTCCCATTCTTTGTTCTAGTAATAATGTGGCCTAGTGCCAAAAGTCATGAAATTCTGACCTAAGAGTTATGTTGTATCTTATAAAGCAGTCATTTGTAATATTATTTTTTCTTGAGTTTTGTCTTTTTCTGTGTGGCAGTGGTGGAATAGGGCCTTCTAAAGCTCTGGCGAAGTGAGAAATCTGAATTTGGAGAGGACATTGGGAAGAAACAATCTTCAACAGATATGTTTAAGTCCAGACCCAGGAATAGCAGATCTGAAGTGGCACCATCTTTTCTCTCTACCTGACAAACTTCATCAACCCCCAAAGTTCCAGTTGCAAACAGCCAAGAAAACTCAGTAAAGATCACTTTGGATTCACTTTGTTGTGACAAAACTGATCCATGGTGGCTCTACTAGGATTTGTGGGAAATCTGCTTAAAGAAAATCACAAAAAAATTCATGACACCAATGGTTAGAGCTAAAAAAAAAAAAGAGACTATGCTAATTATCTTCATGGGCCGCTTTTAACATAAAAGGGCTTTCTAGGGATGCTGTAAATATACTAGATAATCAAATATATGTATAAGCAATAATTTTAAACAAAACCATAATTACAGCTTACATATTATGAAATGTAGTCAAGAAATTTTTTTAAATACACCTGAAAATCTGTAAAGTGTAAGTAAAAAGATGTGAGTACAGAGAAATAAAAATTTAAGACCGATATTTTAACAAAATAATCTTGTTATTATAACACCCGCCTTCTTCCTTTTTGACTATATATACTTGATTGTTGATTTTAATGAAGTTCACTTTTAAGCCTGTTGACTTGAAGGAAGAGCAGAAGTGGCATTATTTCAATAGATGTTCATAAATTACAGAAAATCCATAACAAAGTACAGTAAGACATTTTGTTCCTGAACTTAGCAACGTAACTTTAAGACAGAATGAATTTCTGTTAAAATGCTTATTTTCAGTACTAATAATTCCATCCTTCTCAACTTTCACGTGAAAATTCACCTTATATATCTTAACAAAACTGTCCATGGAAAGTTGAAATGCAAGGTCAGATTTTAACCTGGCTCAAAACACTTAATATGTTTTATCCAAATGAATCTTATAAACAAACTATTTCCTTACTGTAAATAAGCTTGTAGATTTACTTTGCATAACTGTATAATCCAATTCTTTATTCTTTCTATTTTGTTTCTTGTGAAATAGTAAAACATACTTTCAGAAATGCTTATTTCATTTTATGCCTATTTAAGTGCTTTGATCAAAGAGATCTTTGCACATAGAGATCTAACTATAGAATAGTATATGCAAAAGCAATTTAAGTAATTTTAAAAGTAGCTATAAAGCAGACTGATACAATGAATATTCATCTAATAATTAAGACTAAAAGTCAGGCCAAGGTTTAATTGCAGTGTTTAGAGAGTAGAAGAAAGTTTAGTGGGAAGAAAGAAAATGAATCAATATCAATTCAACAGAGTTAAGAGAAATAAGATGAATACATTTAGAAAAGTATTACATTTAAAATAACAGTTAATCTCTGTTGGAAATATGAGGCAGCATGGAACTTCAGAACTTAAAAATATACAGGAAACAAGGTAATAATAATTAAAGTTATATTAATATATTAGAGACAAATAGTTTTTGATTGGTTAGTGAAACTAGGTCAACAAAAGAAATATGGCTAAAATTTGAACTGTACTATAAATGTGATGATTACAATAATTACAAATATATTCTGCAATGTAATTATTTCTGTATACTGGTATAACATGGAATTATTGGGTTACAAAGAAAATTTGTTAACTTTTAAAATTTATTGCTTTTATCTATCTTAATAAAATTTCCTCCTCTGTGTTCAGAAGTTAAACTGTCTACATATTACTTTTATTTATACTGTACCTTTTTCAATCTATTTAAAAAAAATATGCTATGAAGTTATCTACCCATTGTCTAATTCCACAATAATAATATATCTGAAATAGCTAGTATGGTTTTCCTGAGTAGCTTAAATGTACTTACTAAAATTCTTATCGCCAAATCTTGGTTTCTCTCAATATAGAAAAAAAATATTGGGGCAAAAAGAGGAGCTGATACCAAGGGCTCAAGTAGGAAGAAAGTGTTTTGGAAATGTTGATGGCAACATAGGTACAAGTGTGCTTAATACAATTGAATGATGGATTGTTAGAAGATTTGTAAGAGCACCCACAATAAAATGATTGATAAAAATTAAAAAAATATATTGGAAGAATACTATCTCAAAATGTACTTTCATTTTGAAATAAATGGGTAGCCGAGTCAGAAAAAAAAAAAGAATACTATCTCTTGCTAAACACTGATGACAATAGGTTTCCTTGAAATATCCAAATAATCATTTATTAAAATGTACTGAATAGGTATTCAGCTCTCTGATGATTAATTCATTTTTCAAAATAACAAACACTACTCAGAGAAGTTATTCCCTTATCAGTATAATTTATTTTGTTTCTTGTAGAAGGGTTTCTTGTAGAAGAATTCATAACTATTAACAGTACATATTGAATCGGATTCTGCAAGCCATCAGTCAGCCTCATTTTTTCAGGCTCTTTCAGCATCTGTTCCTGAGGTTATTAACACGATCTAGTTGCATAATGGGTTATGCCTTAGGCAGTGAGCCACAAGGTCAGTGGTTCAGACCCATCAGCCTCTCCACACACAAAAAAAACTTCTATAAAGATGTATAGCCTCAGAAACTCACAGGGGCAGTTCTACTCTGTCCTACAGGGTCCGTTATATGTCAGAATTAACTTGATGGCAGTGAGTGTACCTTTGCTTTTGGATTGTCCCAGATCTTCTACTCTTCTGGAAACACCTCTATATCTACTATTTGTAGTGTTTAATTGTAATGTTTAAAGACTAGTTTTTTTCAGAACTCAAAGGATAAAAATTTTCATATAGCGAGGTGACAGGAGTAGTGTTTTGGTGTAGGACACTCTCAGATCATTATAAAATGGAAGTGGTCATGGAAATCTTAAATATAATTGCTAGTTTAACTCCAGTTTGCTCACTGATCAAGTTACAGACTGTTGCTTGCTCTACCTTCTATTCAGACGACCACCACCCCTCAAAACAATCCACAACTCCCATGAAGGCTGTGCCTCAGGGGGTCTTCAAAGCCCTCCAGGAAAATCTACCAGTTTGGAATTTTTTTTCTAGTAATGATGAAAAAAAAAATTCTTGTTCATCTGTTTCCATAAGGCAGGCCTTACCCATGTACATAGTTCTAGACCTCACTCGCCTTGTCCATCCTTGTTTTCCTTACAAATCTGTTCAGTTATCTGTTTCAGCGGTTGATCTCCGCAAGGTCATTTAGAGGTTCTTCCACTTCTACAGGGAGAAAATTGAGTTACTATTCCCAATTCTTTGGTTAAACAATGTGCCTCTTGTTGCTTTTAATAAATACTAAGCTAATGAATTAATACTGTATTCCAGGTACTTTTCTGAGTGCTGGGCTATGTTAGAGAAAGTTGGACAGATGTCGAAGCTTTTCTATTTTTTGTTCTACCACTAAATATTTGTGGAACCATTGGCTTAGAAGAATATTTTACACTCTAGTATTTGCAATCTGCTAGGCAGATTTTATTTTAGAAAATCAGTAATACTAATTATTGTTTCAAATGAATATTCCTAGTCATATTTTTAAAAATCCGAAGAACCATGATGAAAAAATACTTTATCAATAATCCTAGATATAATGCATTTTGTTTTTTTAATATATGATGGTCCTACATATATGTGTATAGTCTTTTTCTTTCACTTGTATTCAGAACATTTTTGTGATTAAAACTCAAATAACTTTATGGCTGCATATTTCATAATATGCTATAACTTATGTAATCATTTTCTTATTGGAAATGAAAGCCATTTTCTTTTTGTTGTTATCATAAATTATATTGTCTGCATGTTTATCTCCTTAAGGTGAATCCTATAAAAAGTAATAATAAATGAAGTATCTAATCATATGTAAGGTCAAAAATAAATATTATTACATTGCCTTCCAAAATGATTGTACTAATTTATATTCATTCCTTCCAGTTTGCCTATTTTGTTGTACATCTGAAGGAACTTTTAAATATTATTTGATCATAAATTTATTGTTTTGATACATTTTAATCAACTAGGATTTTACTTGAGTCAGTTATCAAAGAAAAAGATTTTTTATCCATACAGATAACTATAAAGAATCCAAGAATGATCAGTATGCAATAATGTTCTAAGAATTAAAAAGTTTATTTCATATAAAATCAAAATGCACAAACTATTCCTTTAGGGGGAAAAGCTCAGGATGCCATTGAAAGTCTGAAACTTTAATTTACTAGGTGAAAAGTTAAAGCAGACAAATATATTAAGAACTATGAAAAGCAGATATAATTGGTACTATGGTTTCAGAAAGCTGGTAAAGATGAATTGGTTAAACTATAAGGTTTGTAGTAACTGTACATACAAGTGATATGTAGTATGCAAAAGAATCCCTTCAGAAACTCGTAATTTTAGTCCTTGTATGTGAGCACTCAGCCTGCTTGCTTGTTCTATAGTTTTGAGGTTAGGGATATGCGATCTAAAGTTTGTTTCTCACAATGCTTTGTTTTCAGTTATAGCTGGGATCGTGTCTCTGAGTCACATCATATTATTTGTGCTCCAGCCCATTAACTTTTTTCTCCATGATTATTGGGTTTACTAGTTAATAAATTACATACAGTTCAGGATCTGAAAATGCTCAGGACATAATTCTTTGGTCCAGACAGGATATAATTCTCAGCGATATCCATAGGCACGACTCTCTTTGGTGTAGCCCAGGGGTCAGCAAACTGTAGCCTGAGTGCAATATCTGGCTCTTTATGAATGTATGTATATGTGGCTCTAAAGTAAAATTGAAAAAAAACAACTGAAAGGATTCCTTATTCCGGTAATGATTTCATTTGTTTGTAAACATGTTTATGACTCTCGGACAATTTCAAGTTGCTGGCTCTTCTGACTCAAAAATTTGTCGACTCCTGGTCTAGAACATGGCTCCTTGGTAGTATTACAAAGCTCTTTTAGCATGGCCAATAAATTCACAAGGGGTCCTTTTTTTTTTTTAACTGAATGTTGTTGGTTGCCTTTGAGTCAGCTCTGACTCATGAAGATCCCATGTGCAGCAGCACAAAGCCTTGCTCCATCCTGTGCCATCTGCATAACCACTGCTATGCTTTGAGTTCATTGTGCCATCTCTCTAGTATTTTGAGTGCCTTCCAACCCAAGGTACTTATCTTTGAGCACTCTATTTGACAGTATTCTGCTATCATTCATAAAGTTTTCATTGACTTGTTTTGAGAAATAGATAGTACGATCTTTCTTCCTATAGGCCATCTTAGTCTGGAAGTGCTGTTGAAACCACGGGTGATCCTGCTGGTAAGTAAAATATCAGCATCATAGCTTCCAGTCTCAACAGCTACATGCAAGTCACTACAGTACAATAAACTGACAGGTTGATTTAACTACACACAAAATAAGAATTGCCAAGAGATCCTTATTCAATAGGAACTTTTTTTCCTTTTTAATCTTTGTTTTTTTAATAGTTTCTTTAAAATGTTTCCAATTTCAAATACCTTTCAGCTTCTTTAATGGAAATGGGGATGGTCATTGTGGTTAAAAACTATTTAACCAATTATAACAAATAGCAAATGTTTGTTTGTTTTTTAATTAGAAAGCATAAACACAGCTAGAAAAAGAATCTTAAATCTCCAGATACTTCTGCATTTTGTCAACATTTCCTTTTCATCACAGAAAACTTTTCTGACCAAAAAATTATCCAATACACAGCTTATATATGGATTTTTAACGTACTATTCTAGCCCCCACCCCCCAACCCCTTCCCAGTCCTTCTTCCATAACCTCAGGGCCATGCCACAGAGCCATTAAATTGATCCTATGCATCTGAAAAGGCCATTTCTTGCGGACCCTGCCCTTTCCAGTGACACTAATCTTCCGTAGGGCACTTGTCCTTTTGAGCAGGAACTGGTCTCAGGTTCACCCATGCTGCAACCTGTACCTCCCCCTCGCCCCCCACTATGCTGGCAGTCAGTGTTCAGCTCAGACATGTCATCTCAGCTTGTCACCGTCCTCGCCAACACACTGTACCCTCAGTCTGGAGGTGGCCCCTCGTGTTCTCCAGTAGCATCTTCCGCTCAACGTCTCTCCATTTATGTTTACTTCTCCATTAGATTCCCAACTAACTAGGGATAACCCGTGGCATTTGTCTGGGTCTTCTCGGTGGTGCCTGCTCCTGTCCCCAGTTATCTGGTGACAGCCACTCCCAGGAGAGGATCAATTGTACTCCTATCCTCCACCCTCTTCTCCTGGAGGGAACCCTTCTGCCAACTTCATGGCAGCGAAGGAAAGGCGCGCCACTCCGTGGCGACGACTCGATCGGAAGCCGGACCGAGCACTCGCACGGGCGGGGTGCGGGGGACCTCATTTGCACTGTGGGTTTGTGTCTTCCCGTGGAGGACCCTGGCGTTTGGAATAAGTGAGCCCTGGACTTGGGAAATAAGGAAAGCAGGGGGGGGCGCTTCAAAGTGGCAGGAGGGGGTAGACAAAGCTCAAACTTTCTCGGGGCCCCGGGCAGGCCCAGTCGCGCGGCCCGCCCGCCTCCAGCTCTGCGCGGGAAAACGGCCGGCCTCACGCGGCCGGCGCTCCGGTCAGCTTGGGCTTCCCGGTCGCGCGGTCTGGATCCAGACACCTTGAAGCCAAAGGCCGACTTCCGTTCATGGAACTTCGGTTTCATTTCTTTGTGTCCCCACCTGGCCTGGCCGCCCCCCCTCAAATTGGACCGCCCCACACAGAAAAAAATAAAAGCCAGTCCCGGCCCTAGGGCCTCAGGAAAAGCAACTTGGAAAGAACCGCGACCGTCCTGACCCGCTCGGCCAGTCAGGCCTCCGGACACTAAACGGCCGAGTACCTGGGAGCGCTCTCAGAAACTCCGTCCCCGCGGCCCGCCCCGCCCATGCCCGCCGCCGCCCCACCCCCATTGGGAGACCGCGATGCTCATTGGTCGCCTTCCCTGCCAATCCAGTGGGCGTCAGCGAATCGCGCCTTTGGAAAGGCGGAGGAGGCGAAAGAGCGCGGACTCCTGCTCCGCGGGGCTCGAGCCTAACGTCTCCCAGCTGCAGGCGGCGCGCGAGGCGCCGCGGTCTCCGCCGCACCCGAGACGCGGAGGGTCTCATTTGCATAACGGCCGCCCCCTGACTGCCCCCCGTACCCATCTTGAAATCTGTTGGGCCGCAGGCCGGTCACTCCGACCCAGGCTAGCCTGTGGCGGGACGGGCAGCGTGTGTGCGGGCGGTCCCGAGAGTGGATTGGCTCAGGGAGTGGCCCGAAGGCGGCGGGGAGGCGCTATAAGAGCGAGGAGCCCAGCTGGGGGGAGCGGGAGAAGCCAGAGGCGCCCGGCGAGTCTACCGTGAAGTGGCCGTTCGCGGACTCCGAAGGAGGGCTTCCCTCTCCTCGCCTTTTCTCTCCGACTCGGTTTGCCTGCCTTTCAGTCAGCATGTCTGCTCGCGGCCCGGCTATCGGCATCGACCTGGGCACCACCTACTCGTGCGTGGGGGTCTTCCAACACGGCAAGGTCGAGATCATTGCCAACGACCAGGGCAACCGCACCACCCCCAGCTACGTGGCCTTCACCGACACAGAGCGCCTCATCGGCGACGCAGCCAAGAACCAGGTGGCCATGAACCCCACCAACACCATCTTCGACGCCAAGAGGCTGATCGGGCGCAAGTTCGAGGACGCCACGGTGCAGTCGGACATGAAACACTGGCCGTTCCGCGTGGTGAGTGAGGGAGGGAAGCCCAAGGTGCAGGTGGAGTACAAGGGCGAGATCAAGACCTTCTTCCCGGAGGAGATCTCCTCCATGGTCCTCACCAAGATGAAGGAGATCGCCGAGGCCTACTTGGGGGGCAAGGTGCAGAGCGCGGTCATCACCGTGCCAGCCTACTTCAACGACTCGCAGCGCCAGGCCACCAAGGACGCGGGCACCATCACGGGCCTCAACGTGCTGCGCATCATCAACGAGCCCACGGCGGCAGCCATCGCCTACGGCCTAGACAAGAAGGGCTGCGCGGGCGGCGAGAAGAACGTGCTCATCTTTGACCTGGGGGGCGGCACCTTCGACGTGTCCATCCTGACCATCGAAGACGGCATCTTCGAGGTGAAGTCCACCGCCGGGGACACCCACCTGGGCGGCGAGGACTTCGACAACCGCATGGTGAGCCACCTGGCGGAGGAGTTCAAGCGCAAGCACAAGAAGGACATTGGGCCCAACAAGCGTGCGGTGCGGCGGCTGCGCACCGCCTGCGAGCGCGCCAAGCGCACCCTGAGCTCGTCCACGCAGGCCAGCATCGAGATCGACTCGCTCTACGAAGGGGTGGACTTCTACACGTCCATCACCCGCGCCCGCTTCGAGGAGCTCAACGCCGACCTCTTCCGCGGGACCCTGGAGCCGGTGGAGAAGGCGCTGCGCGACGCCAAGCTGGACAAGGGCCAGATTCAGGAGATCGTGCTGGTGGGCGGCTCCACGCGCATCCCCAAGATCCAGAAGCTGCTGCAGGATTTCTTCAACGGCAAGGAGCTGAACAAGAGCATCAACCCCGACGAGGCGGTGGCGTACGGCGCCGCGGTACAGGCGGCCATCCTCATCGGGGACAAGTCAGAGAACGTGCAGGACCTGCTGCTGCTCGACGTCACCCCGTTGTCGCTGGGCATCGAGACGGCAGGCGGCGTCATGACCCCGCTCATCAAGAGGAACACCACCATCCCCACCAAGCAGACCCAGACCTTCACCACCTACTCCGACAACCAGAGCAGCGTGCTGGTGCAGGTGTACGAGGGCGAACGCGCCATGACCAAGGACAATAACCTGCTGGGCAAGTTCGACCTGACCGGGATCCCCCCCGCCCCACGCGGGGTCCCCCAGATCGAGGTCACCTTCGACATCGACGCCAACGGCATCCTCAATGTCACCGCGGCCGACAAGAGCACCGGTAAGGAAAACAAAATCACAATCACCAACGACAAGGGGCGCCTGAGCAAGGATGACATCGACCGCATGGTGCAGGAGGCGGAGCGGTACAAGTCGGAAGACGAGGCCAATCGCGACCGTGTGGCCGCCAAAAACGCCTTGGAGTCCTACACCTACAACTTCAAGCAGAGGGTGGAAGACGAGAAACTGAGGGGCAAGATTAGCGAGCAGGACAAAAACAAGATCCTCGACAAGTGCCAGGAGGTGATCAACTGGCTCGACCGAAACCAGATGGCGGAGAAAGAGGAGTACGAACACAAGCAGCGCGAGCTGGAGCGAGTGTGCAACCCCATCATCAGCAAACTTTACCAGGGCGGCGGCGGCGGCGGCGGCGCGTCGGGAGCCTCCGGGGGACCGACCATCGAGGAAGTGGACTAAACTGGCCCTCCAGTCAGCGTAAATCCCTTTTCCTTTCTCTTTTTTTTCCCCCCTTTTGTTTTTGTTCTTTAAAATGTCGTTGTGCCAAGGCCGAAATCTATTCTTGGCAGTCTTTAGCGGGGTGTATGCATATGAAAGGAAAGGTGGAACAACTTAGCTTAATTACAAAAGGTTCAAAAGGTTTTTATTTTTCCCTAAGAAAAGCCACCATTTAAGGTTTCTCTTTAATGCGTTTTGCATGTTTGCTGCTTTAAGTGTTGCCCGCGCCCCCCTTAGCCTAATTTGTGCATGAAGATTTGTTTGAGATGAGACAGGCTTTCACACACCTGTCTGCAGAAGCCATAAAAAATACATAAGCTTTAATTGTTTATTTTGATGTAGTACTTTAAAGTGAATGTTAAGGACAGGCTTACTTTTTTGCAAGTAAATGCATAACTACAAATTTAAAGTAAAGCTGTAATTGATCTCAACATTACTGTCTTGGAGTTTTTAATTTTTTTCCAACTTTAGTGTTATTGGCCTTTGTATTATTATAATATGAAATTTACCTAACCTAATCTTGTCTAATTCTCAGATGAGGTTCCTGCCTTGAATTCCAAACAACTTGAGGGGAGAAGATCTTGGTAAACTGTTTTTTCCCCCCTTTAATAAAGAACCCTGTACAGAAACAGAAACTAAGTTCTTTCCCAATGTCCACAAGCCCCTAAACCTTCTCAAAGCACTCACCTGAATAGCTCACAAAACACAAGCTTTGCTCTGGGGTTAAGTATTAAACACCCCCCCACCCTTTTTTTTTTTTTGCTCCAAATTAAGTAAAGCTGAGGTGAGTTGTTTTCTTATAATAAAGCCAAAGGTAATTGCTTTCTGTGACCTAGGAGAAACAAGAGCCAACAGGCAAGCATCAAAGTGAAGACTTAATACTGAGTCCAAATTTGGTCAACTTGTTTGAATGCTCAGATTCCTCTAAAACAGCTCAACGTAAGAACCTGGGGCAAATTATTTTCCAGAACACATTCCCTATCCCCCCCTGCACTCCCCCCCCTTCCTCGCCAGCAATTATAATTACTCATAATTACTTGGAGGGAAGGGAAGTAATATTTAGATTTCGTATGTATGATTTGAGGATTATAATGCTATTGCAATGCCTACCTTAGATCACTAGTTTTTTTAAAAGACAAAGTACAAAATACTTTATTAATATACAACTTGTTCATTTTTCCACATATCTGGCTTTGAGGCTGTTCCAGACAGGAACATTGCAATTCTTTGGAAACTTACTAGACTTAACGCTTTAAATTTTACATTTTGGGGGAAAAGTGTGGGTCAGGCCTGCTTTGTTCTATGGTCTCTTGAAGGGGTGGGGGGGCTGATTTAAAACTAATAGTTAAACTGGTGCTTTTACCACACAGGCATTTTGCTGACTGAGTGATGCATCATGTTGTTTATAATAGTGAGTTTTAGAAAAATATTTTTAATTACACAATGTGATTTTGTGCCATATGGTGAGATCACCTTTTCAGATACTAAGAATTAACATTTTAATATGTAGAGAACACGTTAGCCTGAAAATAATGATCCTCTCACACAGGTGTGGACCTTTAAAGTTTATTTTGAAATAGTTTCACAATTGACTTTACCCAATGAGACTTGCTAAAAACGAAGAAAAAAGGCCTTCAATAATTTAAAAAGGTAAGGTGATTGATCTTTAGGCTCTGAAAAGCTGAAGATGACCTGGGTTTACCAAGTTTTCAGTGAGGAGGCATTAAGGGTGTCTCATTTGACTACAGATAGTATCACATAAATATTTGACAACTACCTTCCTACTTCACAGAGTCAGGTGAATGCTAGCCTTAGCAGCGATTCTTAACCTGTGGATTGTGACCCTTTTGGGGGTCAAGTGACCCTTTCACAGGGGTTGCCTGATTCATAACAGTAGCAAAATTACAGTTATGAAATAGCAACAAAAATAATGTCATGGTTGTGGAGAGGGTTCACCACACATGAACTGTATTCAAGGGTCCCGGCATTAGGAAGGTTGAGAACCACTGCCTTAGAGTGACTTTTCACGTAGAATGTTAACTAAGATAATACCCATTGTATTAATCCTTTGTTAGCCTTTTATTTGTGTATGTTCCTTGCTCTAACTTCAAAATATAATGAAGTATTTCTGTAAGTGCAACTTAAGAGTGACTCAGACCTCACTGTAGAAGAGAGTAGTTTCTACCGGGTCAGAAAAATGACAAGTGCTCCTCCTCTCTTGTTCTGTGGTCCCAAACTTGCTTGACCTACCATCCCCCCTTTTTCAAGAAAATTACTCCCCCACCACCCCTGGATAGAGTGTAGTCATGTGTTTTTGCAGCCACCCACTGACTCTAGCCTCTAAAACTTGATATAACACTGTTCTCATTCTGGGCAGATAAGTTTTTTTCCTGTTCTTTTGAAGAGCAATTGTGGGGTGGTGAGGGGGGAAATATTTAGATAATTAGCTCTTCCCTTTCTTGAGGGTGTTTTTAAAGTTCTGACTTCTCAAATAAACTAGATCTGAATATATTACCAAATAGTCACCAAAGTAGCTATTCAGTGTCTGGAGGAGTCCTTTGAAACCTGTAACTTGGTAACTCCTGGGAACTGCATAGCAGATGTTAGATTAGCTGTAGTCAAATGACAATGGAAACAGCACTTGATATAGGACAGACTAAATTACAGTTTAAGGAATAATTAGCATTTCTGGCACTGCAAAGTAAATTTGCTAGAACCAGTAGTCATGACTAAGACAAATGTAGCATGTATAGACTGTTAAAAGATGGGATAAGTGTATACCTTTCTGAATAGGTACTTCTATTCTTCTTACCTGAACGTTTAATATAGTTCTCTCTTATTCCAAGGCAATAAATCTAGACAATAGCCAAAGACATACCAGGTTGTTTACAGTATTTGAAGTGTGTGAAATTTCAAAACAGGCTCAATTTATAGTATTAATTCGATATATATAATGGAAATCATGGAGGAGGAGCAAAAAAGAGGAAGACCCTGGGAGTGATGGGTTTCCACAGTGGCTACAACAAAGGGTTCAAACATGACAATTCTGGGGATGGTGCAGGCTGGGCGCTATTTTGTTATATTGTATGTAGATAGGGGCGCAGAGTCAGACTCAGTGGCTCCTAACACAATAGGAAGCATTAAGACTGGGCTTGCACATTCGGAATATCGTTACATCTCTAAGGTTAACATGTAGAATAGAATGTGTCACCGAGTCAGTATCTCAAGGGGACTTTGTGAGAATTTATTTACATGTGTAAATCGTATGAAATCAAAATAGAAGTTTTTATGAGTCCACTGGAACCATGATAAGGCATTCACCTACTCTAATTGAATGTAATCTACCAAATTATGATGTAAGGTTTGCTCCCCTTTATACATAGCACAGATTAAATTGGAATTTTGAAAATTCTTAAATCCAAACATCCCACAACTGCTGAGGGAATGTGTGTGCTTAGGTTAAGGAGCAGCAGGAATATCTATTTGCTTCCATTTATTTAGTGTGCAAACACTTTACATGTGAGTTAACTGTTTTGAAGAACTATCCTTAAATGTTAATTTGGATACAGAATCTCATTATTTGAAGAAAAATCACGAGTCTTTAGAAAATGTCGAAAAAAAGAAAATGCCCAATATTTAATCTTGATATGCCTCTGGGAATGAAGCTATTTAAAGGTATAGGCAGTTAAGAAATTTAGTAGTAGGGCTATTAAATGTTGAAGTGTCTTTCAAAAGAAATGAAGAGCGTAGGCCGTATTCCTCACCTATTTCAATATAGGTTAATTATATTTATGAATCGAAAGTTGGGGAAATAAAAAATGGAGTTGCTAATTTAAAATCTGACAGTGTTATTTTCTTACATGTCCAGTTTTTTTAGATAGGATCACCGCATACCAATCTTGTGACTTTTCATAGCATAAACATACGTTGTATTCAATTCATGTCTTGAGCCTAGGACCTGAATTAGGTAATCACTGTAACTCTGAGGAGCCTTTCTGGGTGGTGCAAGCAGTTAAAACCGTGACTACTCCTCTAAGGGTTGGCCATTCAAACACCTGGAAGAGCAGGTCTACTCTATGCTTGGGGCCTGGAAGAGTTTGCCCATTAGGCGAGGGATTCTTTCTGTTACGGAACACTTGGAATTAGAAATATTCAGGAGACACCTTTATTCTTACATTATACCAATTGTTTGTCTTTGCTTTGAAAAAGGAAAGATTCTATTTCCAGTCTAAGCTCTGAATTTCTAATGGCATTTAAAACATTTTATTGGGGGCTCACACAACTCATCACCATCCATCCATCCATTGTGTCAAGCATATTAACATTTATTGAAAGGCATTTTTAAAGAAAACCTAATTAGTGACCATCAGGGGTCACTGTTCAGAACGAATAATTACTTAAAGCTCTAAAAGCCATAGTCCTATTCTACTGTAACCAGCACTTAGTGTATGGCAATATAGCCAGACATATAAGAAGGCCCCTTGGAGTTAGGGGATTCCTATAAATATTATGATATGTAGATATGTATGGGTGTTCGAGTGGTACAGTGGGTTAAGCACTTGGGATGCTAACCTAAAGGTCAGCCATTCAAACCCACTAGCCACTTCGAGGGAGAAGGCTGAGACAGTCCGCTTCTGGAAAGAAACCAAGTATGTCCTACTCGACCCTACAGGACCACTGTGAGTTGGAATAGACTCACTCGCCGTGTATAGGCCTACCAAAACTGAAATAGCTTGTCAAGTTGCATATGTATCGATTCACTTTTACCTTAGTTACATGCATCAGCCAGCCTGAAGTTAGACTGGTGAACTAGATTTTCAGTTTTCTATTAGCACTTCTCCACTCCCTGAGAAAAAAAATGCAAGAGGTTGACTGACCCTAGTGTATTTCATTAGATCTTCCTGATAATGGCTGTGCGGTGACTGGATTCTATCCAGGTTGACTGGTCTTTGTCATATGTATTTTATTTTTCCCCACCTCCCCAAGTTAAATTCACTGGTGAAAAGCTCTTGGCTACTGAGTTGTTCTCATAGTAGATATTATCATGTTAAACATTTTTTAATGGTTCTTTAAGTTGTATTTTATTACAGAATTCACGAAGCACTTAAGTATCTAACTGTATTGATAAAAGGCAGGAGAATCATTAACATCTTTGGTTGATTTTCTAATCTACATGTTAAAGTAAATCGAAGTAATCTTTACGAGGTCCCAGCAGTCCCAGAGATAATTCTGCTATAACTTTTTGCATGCTATTAAATGACAGGGTGCTGAGGAAGAATAGAAATGATGCATATAAAATTCAAAATCTTTAGGAATCTAAGGGTTTGGGTGCTGTCTTTGAAGACTCATAATCCCAAATGTGTGAAAGACAGTTGGAAATCAGTCAAGACCATAATACCCTCTTCACACATCAATGACTGCATTTTCTTTGCAAAGGGTTTTTAACTTCTAGGACCTGAGGGAGTTGACACCTGCCCCTCCTCTTTCACAACAAAAAGGCTGGGATTATCCTCCCCTCCCCGTCTGGAAACATCAGTTAGGAGTGAATATATGTGATTTTTTACAATAAGCAAGCTTTGGGACCACAGCCTCAAGCCAGTTCTGCAAACGTGTACAGGTCGGTTTCAATGTGTGTGAGTTACCTTGAATAGCTCCTGACAACTGACGAGTAGAACATGAATCCAGGTGATTATAATTTGTGTGGTGGAAACCTTGCTTGGTTTACTCAACTAGTAACTAAAGGGTTAAACGTTAGAGCCCACCCAGAGACACTTCAGTTTCTGAAACATTCGCCATAGTTCAACTCTGAACCACAGGGCATCATCATTAATTGTCAGCTGGTTTTGGTAACTATCCAGTGTGTTCTACCAAGAGAGGGTGGTCCTGGAGGAGGAGGTGTTAGGTAGCAGGATAGGGGGTTGTTCTCCATGCGTAAAGGCCACCTACAGGAGGTTGGAAGCCAATAAAGGCTTGAGCCAGGTGGGTGGTACACCTGGGTTGGCCGAACTAGGCCAGGTGGGCTTGAGTCAATGGGGTCAACCGGTGCTGTCGACCAAGCCTCCCCGCTGAAGGCCCTAAAGGCTGGAACCTGGAGCCCACCGATTCCCTTCAGCTGTTCCTCTGCTTTCTGCTCGGCTCTGCTGCTTTTCTCTGGCCTCAGGCCACCACCTGTGGTGTGCTGTACCCCAAGGGTGCCTGTGTTCAGGGACTGCATACCCTGATGAAACTTCTTGTCCTTTATAACAACCCACTGGGATCACAAACCAGGCTTCCGTGTGAATTCTTTCTCCAGCGAAGCCAAGAACGGAGTATTTCCCACCTGAGACATTTAACAGAGGGATACTGGGGGGAGGGGGGAGGTTTACAAAAAGCTCATGGAAAAATTCCATTAGTTTTAATTTTTCCAGGAACTTTTATAAGGCTCCCTGGTATGCTGCCAGATTTTTATCCAGGGATAAAAGGAAGAAAAATATCCACTAGAACCTGCATGATAGCAGGAAGGAACTACAACACACGAGTTGAAAACAGAAATATAAAAACATCCTGGAGCACCCTCCGACCCAAAGCAAGTTTTCTTCCTTAGGCAACACTGATTTTGAGTATTTGAGCCCAGTGCCTAACACTTGTAACATCACAGATCTCCCTAACTCCTGATTTGAGTGTCTTCAGATGAAGAAACAAACAGAATCAGAATGAACCTGCCTTAGATCTCACAAATAGTGAAGTAGCAAGAACACTATTTCCACGCGTAGGTTCTCTTCCACAAGAGTACAACTGCCTACTGCCTTCCACCCCACTTGGCACACAACCAAGGGCCAGCGTGGACCTAGTGCTTGCTAATCAAGTGGGAACCAATGGACCGAGGTCCCGGCGGAACTGATTCTAGCTATTCCAATAGAGAACTCCTTAAGTGGTTTAACCTCGTGGTGGGGAGGCGGTGGGTCAATTAAAGAATTAACCCCCTGGGCAGCTTTACTCTGGATAAACCCATAAGCCACCGGGGGGCCGCGGGAGCCCCCGGAGAGCTTGGTGGGGCTCAGGCCGCCCGCCGGGCCCGAGGCGGAAGCGGGTCGCCGCCTCCCCCGCCCCCTCCGGAGCGTTGCCAGGCGCCTGTGGACAGTTGCCTCCGCGGCGCTGCGAGGTCCGCCGGCGGAGGCCATGTACCGCCTGCCGGACCTTTCTTTGAAGAAGCAGCGGTGGGACCTCTCGAGCTCTCCCGGGCTGGAAGTAAGTGGCCGGGGGGAGGCGCGGCGGAGCCAGCGCTGGCTGCGTGGCGGGACCGAGCCGCCCAAGTTCACTGTGCCTTTGCTGCGCCCCTGGACCTCCTCGCCTTAGTCCCTGGGTGAGCGGTGCTCCAAGGGGTGTGGGCAGTGGTCCCGCAGAAACAAAAGCAAAAGGGTTCTTTGGACACAGGGAATTGGATTCTGGCTCCCTTCGCAAGTCTTCCTATGTAAAGCGGAGGTCCCCCCAGCCCCCTTCTCCTTGGTGGCAAACTGTCGTACTGCAGAAGCAGCCGGGGCTGGTTGGGGTCCCAGGACACGAAAGGCTGCCCTGGAGTCAGTGCGGACGCAGAGCGACGCCCTGTGTGTTCCGGAGAGACTGTAACTGTTTGTGGTAGTAGAGAGCCCAGTCTTTATCCAGAGGAGGCGCTAGGGGTTTTGAACAGCTGACCCTGCAGAGCCCAGCCCAGGGCGTAACCACTACACCAAGAGGGCTCCTCACAGTAAAATAGAAAGTGGGGGGGCGGGGGCGGGGGGAGAGGAAGGCCGACAATGAGATGGACTGACGCGGTGGCTGCCTTGATGGGCGCCAAGGTCGCAGTGTGGAGGACGGCACGCACGGGACCTGGCAGGGTTCCCTCCTCTCCATGGCACTGAACAACAGTAACAACTTCCCCAGAGGGGCGGAGTTAGTGGTAGAACTGGCTCCTTCTAATTAAACCCTCTCTCCTCCTAGAAGACATCCCCAAACCAGCTGGTTATCCTGCGATCACGTAGTTATCCTCCGCTCCACGGAGTTTCTAGCTCTTCAAATCTGTACTGGAAGCAGATTCTCTAGGCCGCAGCCTTGGCCTTCAGAGCCGCAGGTGGGCTAGCGTGCGTGAGCACTGTGCCACCAGGACTCCTCCCAGTCTAGTCCAGTGGGCAGGTTAAAACTGCAGCTGCTGTCGGCTTCAGCTGATTATTGTATGCTCTGAGGGGCCTTGCAATCTTAGGTATCATACGTTCCTTCCTTGCATTTGAAACTACACCTTAAAGCCCGTTAGAAAGGATAACATCTTGGCTTCAAGTTGAAAATCAAAACACTTTCAATTTCCCCAACTCTGTTGAATAGAACTTAAGAGCAACTAGTGGGAAATTGTATTAAAGGTTTTTTGGGACCCGGGGTTTGTAAACTGGACTTGTAATTCGCTGTCATTTCATTTTACAGCATATGGGGTTGCGGTTAGGGATGTGGTACTGGAAGGATGACTCCAGAACTCTTGAATTCAGAAGGTAAATTTTCAGAAAACAGCTTCATGTTTTATCAAAAGGATTGTATGCTTGGGGTAAAAAATAACACGAACAATACAAAAGAATAGAGAGAATGCAGTCAGTATTTGTATGTTAAAGAAATAGAGTGAAAGAAACATCCACTCCCACCCAGAAAACCTCTCCACAAAAGTCCAAGAAACATATTACCATTGAGCAAGCATTACACCCCAATGTGAGGCATCACAGGCAATCTGCTACTAAAGAGACTGCAAATGACAAAGAAATCGAGGAGCTGATACCAAGGGCTCAAGTAGAAAGCAAATGCTTTGAGAATGAGGCAACAAATGTGAAAATGTGTTTGACACTATGGATGTATATATGGATTGTGATAAGAATTGTACAAGCCCCCAATAAAATAAAACAAAAACAAAACAACCACAAAAGAAATCTCCCTTTCCCCTCACTCCCCCACCACAAAAAAGAGAGAAATTATACCCTTTATATAGCTAATTGAATACAACCAACCATATGTTACTAGTCTCAAGATAAAACTGTTAATTTTCTAGCTTCTTTCTGGTAGGATATTCTGAAGTTAGGCTAATCTTCCAGGAAACTGGGAAGTAAGGGTGTGATCAGTACTATCAGTACCAAATCTGGCCCAAACCCCTTCCGCGATGTACAGTGTCTCCCTCTATTGGACCATGTTGCTATTGCACGCCATTGAGTAGGCTCCAACTCATAGCAACCTTGTAAGACTTGAGTAGCTACCTGATGGGGTTTCCTGGGGTGTACTCTTTACCAAAGCAGACGGCCAGTTTCTCTCCTGTAGAGTCACTGGGTCCTTTTAGACTGCCAAGCTTTTGGTTAGCACCTGAGCGTTTAACCATTGCACCACCAAAACTCTGCTCCTTTAAACCTCTTTTCCTATATTTCCTATATATATTTAAACCTATTTTCCTATATTTCCTATATTTAAACCTCTCAATGAGGAAGACTGTTTTATTCATCTTTATGCCCTGAAACATCACAAAGTAGGCTTTAATGTCTCTATATTAGAAATTTCCTAATGAAAGACCAGTGGGAGTCACACAGAGACCAGACCCTTTTCATAGCAAGAGCAACAGGCATCTATTACTTACAAAATAAATAGAACAGGGATAGCATACACCGCCATCAGCCCTTGTTCCCTGAAGTTAAGCTCCTGTACATAGAGTGATGTTAGAAGGGATCCAATCACACCCAAGTTCATATCTTAGGGGAACACTTAATACCTCTCTCCCGGGAATAAGTACTAATTGAACAACCATGTCTGCATGCTTAATAGCATGTATGGGGAGCAGGTAAGGAAAGGGGTAATGAAAGGGGATGATAAAAGGCAAACGGGGTATAGAAATAGAAGACCCCTGTAAACAACGGACATCATGTATTGCTCCTAAGCAGATTAGTCTCGGTTTAATGCTAGCGAACAGCTCTTCTTTATCCCAGTAAAGGAGTTCTGAGTTTCCTGAGAGAGCAGTCTTTTCCCCCTAAGGTACATGCATTATGTCCATTGGCACCTAGGGGGATAGGGATGGGGTCATTATAATATAGCACACCTAGGCATTTAGCGTGGGCATTCTTCAAATGTCAACCCGTGAAAAGTAAGCAGAGCAAGCCCAGAAGCAGGGGACCAATTAGAAAGCTAATTGGATGAGGATTATACATAGTTATACAGATAAGAATCCGAGAACTAAACCAGTGCTGGTAGGAATAGAGGGAAGGGTACAAGGCTTACAAAAGATATTTAGGAGATGAAATGGACAGGATGCTTGGGTAGGATTGACCCATCGGGGTCCTGGATGTGAAGGGAGAGGAAGGAGGAGGTGTCTAGGTTTGACCCTTAGGTACCTGGCTTGTATGATGCGCTGACGGGGGTTACTTACGCTTCAGGGTACAGAGTCAAAAGCAGCACCAGTGAAGTGTTTGCTATGACCCTTCACATGGATACGGCTCTTAGACTGTGGAACAATCTAAACAAAGGGCTGGAGCCCAAGAAAAGAGTGAGCTAAAGAGGTGTCTTTTTTTTTTTTTGCAGATCTGAGTTCTTTTATTTATTTTTTGGGACAGGGGGCATTTTAAAAAATCATTTTACTGGGGGCTCGTACAATTCTTATCACAATCCATACATTCATCCATTGTGTCAAGCACATTTGTACATTTTTTGTCATCATCATTCTCAAAGCATTT